AATATGATATAGTAAGAATTGAATATAGGCTATTTTCCATTTAGCAAGCCACTATAATATTTGCAAAAAGTTAAGAAAGTGAAAATTTTATTTTATATTTTTTTAAAAATTTTATAAATAATTTTTAGGGTATCACGTCAATTCAGCGCGGCGACAACTCGGCGCAACGTCAATTCGGCGCGGCGATAATTCGGCGCAACGTCAATTCAGCGCAACGTCAATTCGGCGCGTATCTAATACAGTTGCAATTTATTATAAATTTATTAGCATAAAAAAAAGGATGATTAAATAGAAATGATTTTAAATGTTGGTCATATTAATTATTTCTTCGTATTTTTTTTTACAAAAATCTCAATTTTATTTACTAAATATCAATAAAATAAATTAACAACCAATATTTATACCGATTTCCTTGCTGGACCAATTTACCACATTATAAGGTAGGGGAGACTGGGGTTAGTCGACCGATTTTTATAAAATTGGCTATAGCTCCTGGTTTTTTAGAAAATATAAAAAAAATATATGATTAGATACCTCATAATTGACGTGTATGGTTTAGCAAGCCCTGCTAACTCTAAATTTCTGGATATAATAAATACTCATAAAACTTTCCCAAATTATAAAAACTTCATCAATATTTTATTTCTTAAATAAAAATTTTAATAATTATTTCTTTCCGAAGATTTTTTTGGGGCGATTTTTTTTCCTATTTTGTTAATTTTCTAAAAATAATTTAATATTTTGTATGGATCAAAAATTAGGGGATTTCTCCCGGGAATTTATTTCCATGGGATTTTTTTTACGGGGAATAAATTTCCTGATTCAAAATTATGTTAAATCTTAATTCCCCTTTTCCCTCCTCTTTTTAGACAACAAAAATATATATTTTTTTTTCGGATTCAAAATTATGTTAAATCTTAATTCCCCTTGTTCCCGCCTATTTTTAGAAACAAAAATAAATTATTATATATTTTATTTTCGGATTTATTCCTTTTGTTCAATAATTTTAAAGAATTTAAACGTTATTTTTCTCAATAAATTTTATAATCTAAATTAAACATAAAATCCAAATCTCCTTTTTCTTTTTTTCCCCGCCTAACTTTAGAACAACAAATTAATAAATAGAATTATTTATCTTAAAATTTTGTCCTTTTTTTTCATTTTAAAAGTCTGTAAAAAAAACTTTAATATTTTTCATTTCCTTCAGTAATTTAATCTTTATTTTATTTTTGTAAATCATTTATAATTTTTTATTTTATAGTTTACTTTTATTTTTAAGAATGCCTTTAAATTATGTCATAAGTTAACGTGGATCAAAACAATTAGTTCATGATCAATACATATTCAGGAAAGAAAGAATTATAAATCAAAAAAAAAATATGGAAATGTGTAGAGGCTTATAAATTATTGGAAGGTAGACCTACCCGTTGCAAAGGACGATGCCACACATTAAATGAAGAGGTAATTCTTCATATTGATAATCATAATCATGTGATAGATGGTATAGAGGTCTTAAAAACCGAATGCCTAAATAACATTAAAAAACGGGCTATTGAGGTGACTGATACACCTCAAAAAATTATAAGCATTGCAATAGCAGAGGGTTCCCCATCCCTTCATGCTGCCCTTCCGCCCATCACGTCAATAAAACGAACCATCCAGCGAGCTAGATCGCTCATGGGTTCCATTACCTACTCCGGCAAACAGTTATGATCTAGATTTACCTGATATCTATAGAAAAACATGTTCGGGGTTGCCATTCCTTCAATATGATAGCAAGCATTTGCTACCGGAACTACCAAGAATTTTGATATTCGCCACTGCCCAAAACCTTAGATTGATGGGGAAAGCAGTCACTGGTATGCAGATGGCACGTTTAAGATAACCCCCATAATTTTTTACCAACTTTGGACCATCCATGTCCTATATAATAAAACAGTTATACCCACAATTTTTGCGCTATTACCGAATAAAACCCAGATTACATACATAAGGGTCTTGGATGAGATAAAAAGATTACAAAACAATGTAAATCCTATATCGGTAATGATCGATTTTGAGCAGGCTGAAATAAATGCCTTTACACATTCATTTCCATCGATAACAGTAAGAGGCTGTTTTTTTCATATGACTCAAGCAATTTGGAGGCACATCCAAAGTGATAGCGAATTATTATCTCATTATTTAGATAGAGATGCGGGAAGTGATTGGTCTATAAAAATTAGACAAATTGTGTCACTTGCATTTGTTCCCGTGGAGGACGTGTTTGATGCCTTTTATGGGCTATTACACACACAATTCTATCAAGACAATGAAAGTGTCTTGGACAAACTTATAACATATTACGAAGCCACCTGGATTGGCAAGATTCTTCGTCAAGAACCAAGGTTTCCAATTCCCCTTTGGAATCAATACGCCTCTACATTGGAGGGAATCCCAAAGACAAATAATGCAGTTGAAGGTAATTTTTTTTAAAAATTTGCTATCTTTTTAATCATTATTACACAATATTTTTTATAATTTACTTTGCAATTATTTTCTAAAGGTTGGCACAGAGCATTCTCATCTCTGCTATCATCGCACCATCCCTCTATTTGGAAATTTTTAGATGCTCTACGTTTGGAACAATCGTTAACCGAAGCAAAAATTGAACAATATATTTCTGGTACGCAACCCCCGAGATCAAGAAAGGTGTATGGGAAACAGCTGAAAATATTATATTAATTGTATCTGAATATGTAAATCGCCCGATTAATGATTATTTAAGGGGGATCGCATTTAATTTTAATTTACAAACAAATTAATGTTATCTATTTTTTTTAAATGTTCTTTTAAACATATTTTTGGCATGTTTTATATAGTATATTTGTATTTTCTATAGTCATTTTATATATAAATAAAAAAATTGTGCGTTAATTCGTTTTTGATTATTTTATAATAGAAAAAATTAGTTAAACATAATATATATTTAAAATGATTAATAGAATTATTTTAAGGATTTTTAATAAATCTAAAAAATGAATCAGTCTTAATTTGAATTTTATTGGTTCAACATTAGTGTTGTTAAACGTCCGATTTGGGTCGATTAAGATTTTAGCCATAATAACATGTAAGATTAGAGATAGAAGTCCAAACTTTTCTTACATTTAGCGCAAAATCTCGCTTACATAATATTGGCTACTAATCAAAATAGGGGAGACTGGGGTTAAGTACCGAAGCTTGGCAAACCACTTAATCTCATCTTAAAATTAAATACACCAGAAGGTTAAAATTTTATCATAATATAGTTTTTATTTTACTTCTATAGACAAAAAATGTTTTGAAATAATTATTAAAAATTTTATTTAAGAAATAAAATATTGAGGAAGTTTTTATAATTTGGGAAAGTTTTATGAGTATTTATTATATCCAGAAATTAGCAGGGCTTGCTAAACCATACACGTCAATTATGGCAGTTAATAATGAAAAAAATACAAAATGTTTATTAAATTAACCAAAATTAAGTTTCAATTTTTATATATAACTTGCCTTAATTTACCCGCTATTGGGGCTTGTTGGACAAAATTGTTCTTTTACAAAAAGTAAAATTCAAAAAAAAATGAATATATTCTTAAAATTTTTTATAAGTAATTTTTATAGAGTATAGTTTTAGGTATCTAATCATATATTTTTTTTATATTCTCTAAAAAACCAGGAGCTATAGCCAATTTTATAAAAATCGGTCCGACTAACCCCAGTCTCCCCTACCTTATAATGTGGTAAATTGGTCCAGCAAGGAAATCGGTATAAATATTGGTTGTTAATTTATTTTATTGATATTACACATTTAGTAAATAAAATTGAGATTTTTGTAAAAAAAAAATACGAAGAAATAATTAATATGACAACAATTCAAAATCATTTCTATTTAATCATCCTTTTTTTATACTAATAAATTTATAATAAATTGCAACTGTATTAGATACGCGCCGAATAGACGTTGCGCTGAATTGACGTTGCGCCGAATTGTCGCCGCGCCGAATTGACGTTGCGCCGAGTTGTCGTCGCGCTGAATTGACGTTGCGCCGAGTTGTCGCCGCGCTGAATGACGTTGCGCCGAGTTGTCGCCGAGCTGAATTGACGATGCGCCGAATTGACGCCGCGCCGAGTTTTCTGCGCCGAATTTTCCATGCCGAATTGACGTGGAACCAATTTTTAGATGACCTCAACATGTATTATACCAGAGGGAGATATATCTGATGTAGATATTGAGAAGAATGATGACTTTGAAAATGCCACAGTAGTTGATCTAAATATGACCTATGATATTTTACCAGATATTGGGTTGGAACTGGAAAATTATGATAATGATATTATCCCAAGTAATAGGAAAACCCGGATTTATATAAATATAATACAGAATTTAAACAAGAATTTTTGCCTCCACCTGATCAGGAAATTTCGCCTTACAAATATTTTAAAAAATTTATAGACGATGATATTATTAACAATTTAGTAGAGCAAACGAATATTTATTCTTTTCAATTATCTGGAAAATCAACAAAAACAAATAGTAGTGAAATTGAAAAATTTCTCGGAATTCACCTTTATACGGGCATTGTTAAATTGCCATCAATAAGGCAATATTGAGCTATAGAGACACTGATTCCTCAAATTTCTCAATGCATGACAATAAACAGATTCTTGGAATTGAGAAAATAATTTCATATTAATGATAATAATAATATAATCCTTAGGGGCCAGCCTAATTACGATAAACTTTTCAAACTAATACCATTTATTAGTGCATTAAAAATGAACATGAGAAAGATTCAATTAGAGGAAAAATTATCAATTGATGAAATGATAATCCCCTTCAAAGGGCGATGTGAATTTAAATAATATATTAGCTCAAAACCGCATAAATGGGGAATTAAAATTTTCGCTTTATGTGGATCATCTGGAATGCTATATGATTTCGAAATATATTTAGGGAAATGCACAAATATAAAAAAACTTTGATGGGAATTAGTGGAGATATTGTTATACGACTATTAGAAACTGTTCCTCCACATAAAATTCATAAAATTTACATGGATAACCTTTTTTCTTCATATAATTTAGCAGTTGCGCTCAAAGATAATGGTTTTATCATGTCGGGGATCATAAGATCTAATCGATTATTAGGATGCCATCTGGTTGATGATAAAATCTTAAAGAAAAAAAAAAGAGGGTCCCTTGATTATAAAGTGGATTCTAATAATAATATTATAATTTGCAAATGGTTTGATAACAAATCGGTTATCACGATATCATCATTTATGGGTATAAATCCCACATCACGAACGAAAAGATGGTCGGTATCTGAAAAATCTTTTATTAATGTCGAAATTCCGGCTATAATTCAAGATTATAATGCTGGTATGGGCGGAGTGAATCTCCATATGTTAATTGAACTATACAGTGACATAAAATGGAAGCGCTTTTACATGCGAATTTTCTTTCATTTATTAGATTCCTGTGTGATGAATTCGTGGTTACTCTATAGATGCCACATCAAACAGAAAGATGATAAATATATATCTCTTTTATCGTTTAAAGCTCGGATAATTAAAAGATTAATGATGGTTGGAAAGGAAAATTATGGAAAAGAAGGTAAACATAATTTGAAGATTGAAAAAAAAAGAAAAGAAATTGAATAGTTTTCATCCAATCTCAGATATTAGATTCGATAAAATAGGGCATTGGCCCTCGGCGGCTAACAGACAAAGATGCAAAAATGGTTATACCAGGTTTGAATGTTTAAAATGTAATATCTTTATGTTTAAATAAAAATAGCAATTGTTTTATTTCTTATCATTCAAAATAAATTGTATATTTTTTTAAATATGAATATCCCAATGATGACAATTGGTAACATTTTATAATTCTATATATATACACTTTTTAAAATAAAAAACGTTGAAAATATGTTATTTGCGTCTTATTTAACTCAGTTTTAGAAGAAAAAAATTTTTTGTTCATGGGAAATGTCGGGCGCGAAAGGGTTAAATATACCCAGGCCTGGCTATATATTTTAAATTGTCATTATTAACTATAAAAATAAACAAGCCATGAAATTATTTCTTCAGTAAATATATATTTGGGCCAGGCCAAGAAAATTTATTTTAATAGTACCCCTGCAGGTCTCTGATAAATAGTATTGATTCTTTAACATTTTTTTGAGATCATCCATATCAGATCTCATATTATTTAAAGATTTTCCTCTTTTAAAACTACTCTAAATAAATATAACACCCCTATCCTATCCTCTCCTGTTAAGGTATTATTTAGTCTAGCAAAGGATGTTTTTGGTGAAAACATTGTTCTTCACTATAAAACTTTGAGAGACATCTTTTAAACCCAAATACAAAATTTATTAATTAAAATTATATAACTAATATACTCTTTTATTATGTGATATTATTATTATAATATAAAAAATCTGAGTTATATAAATAATTTAGTGTTACTTTTGAATAAAAATAGAACCATTTTTAGTATTTGAAAATTATATTAAATGAATTAAATTTTGATATGCAGCTAAACTAATTGAAGATAATTTTAAAAAATTGTTATATGATTGAAATCAAGCCTAAAATGAGAAATATTTTTATTAAAATTACATATATTAATTAACAATATTTATCATTTTTATAAAAGATATCAAGCAAACTCCTGTTTAATAAGGCTATTATCATCACTATCTTCTATTATATTTGTACTTTGTAGTAAATCTGGTTGAATTTTAAAACATTTTTTATTACTCTTAGGTGACTTTTGTAAAACTGTACACTTTGAATTATAATTAACAATTAATTTTTCATCTTCACTAGATAATTCAGTATCTTCACACTCATCATCATAGTTCACATTTTTTTCAAGTTCTGCTAATCTTTGTACAAGAAAGCTATTTGATAAAAAGTTGTTTCTATCATCAAATTATAATGTATACTTATTGTCTTTATGTATTTGTAATAAACGCTCTTCTGTTTTTACAATTTCAGCTTCATATATGCATTGCTCCTATATATCAAATATGAAGGGTAATTTAATACATTTATTACATAAAGTAAGTTTTTTATTTTATTCTCAAGTTTTTTGTATTTTTCCTTATAATCATCGGGTTCCATAATTTGATTTCCGTGCCTACGATCGTAAAATCTTTTCTCGTAAATATTTCTTCTAAATCTATGATTGGTCCATTAAATGTTTAAAAAATCCTAAAAACTATCATATTTATCCAATATTCTTTAAATGAATATTCATCCAATGATATTCTTTAGGCCAATTCATTCAATGATATTCATTTTATCAATATTCAACAAATATATATTAATTTCCCAATGTCTTAATGCGTCACGTTCTCACTACAGCGTCTACAAGATCAGGATGTGGGGGGGGGGCAACAGGCTTCCAATTTATTTGAGGGGAATAGGGGGTAGATCTTTAAGGGAGTTGACTAGAGGTCGGACAATTTATTGAGAGGTTACCCAATATTTTTAGATGAATTGGGCAAAATGTATTGCTATAAAAATTAATACTTTTATTTAGACCTATTATATAATATAATATAATAATATTGCCAAACATTGACCATATCTATATATTTCATATCATAGACATTATTTTCCAAATAAAATATTCTGCTATCCTTTTAAATGTAATTAAAGTGGGTTAGACATTCTCAGCAAACTCATATTTATGCCAAACAATATACTATAATAATGCATTCATTATAAATGAAGAGGTTTTTAACATGTTCTAAAAAATAACACTTTTATATACACAATATTTTGATAGTTGGTAGTAGTATTAATAATTTAAGTTATAAATTTTTTTTATCAGGCCTCATTTATAGTAAATGCGTTATATTATGTATATTAAAATAAAGCCTATAAATCGGTATTTGGGAAAGATATGTTACGATCCGTTGATAAAAAATATGCGATTTCGATTAAAAGGTAAATGATTTTTTCCAATGGCGTCACTAGTGGGGGGGGGGGGGCGCGCAGGGGCTCGAGCCCCCTGAAAAATTTGAATAGTCCCCTGAAGCAAAAACTTTTTTTTTAATGACTACTTAATATCCCCTTGAAATAAAAATAATTTTTTTTTTATAAAAAGTAAGTAGACATATAGTTTATATTCCTCTATTATATATAATTGTTTATAAAATATTAGGTAAAATGCCACTTTTGCAGACGTATTTGACAGTTATATAATATATTACAGTTAATATTTTTAAAATTTTACTAATCAATGCTTTTGATAATATATAAGTAACAATTTGCATTCAACTATTTAACGCCATCTATTTATTTAAAATTGTTATTTATCCCACAATGGATGTAATAAATTGGATACCTTTTTCTTTTTTTTACGTGTTTTTAGGAAAGCTATTTTTTTCTTTTTTGAAAAACAGTTTTGAGTTATTTTTAATACAAATATATTTTAGATATTATTACAAACTACTATTATTTTAAGATATAATATACCAACTAGAGATTGTGCGACAATAATGTATAATTAATTGCTTTCATCATACAACTCTGGTTCTTATTTTATAGTTACAAAATGTTTCATTTCTAATATGGCATCCTTGCCATTTAAATAGCTCAAGTCTTCAATATATTTGCATAATTTCTTCTAAAGATTTTTAGTGTTTTTGTTTCATCAATTTATCTAACATAATAAATTCTGATATGGGTTACCATTGTGAGTGTTGTAAATATTTTTATTTATTAATCATAATTAATATTATTTTTTTTTTGTGTGAGTCATGAAATATTTTTTTTGGAGTTTTGTTTTTAATATTTTTTTTTTAAAGTTTCGCGAACTCATCGTGACCATTATTGTAAATATTTTTAATATTTATTATAAAAAAAAAATAATAATCAGATATAAAAACCTGAAAAAGGTTAAAAAATTGTCATTATTATAATTATATATTTTTTTAAAAATTTCCTTTGTAAACAAGAAAATAAAGACGTTATATTGTAAAATCATTTGTTTTGAAAAGGTAAAAAAAAAATATAAAGACTTTGTATTTTAAAATAATAAGAACTACCAAGTTGAAAGTTTCTAGCCATTAGAATTTTGAAATTGGTGCCGTGTTTATACAAAACAACCTGGTTAATGCGGTTGTCGTTTGAGTCTTCGAGTGAATTTTACATCGTCTTCATCGTCTACATCTACGGTAAAATATCATATATATTTGAGTCTTCGAGTGAATTTACAGCGTCTACATCATCTACATCTACGGTAAAATATCATATAGTGATATTTGAGTCTGCGAGTGAATTTACAGCGTCTTCATCGTCTACATCTACGGTAAAATATCATATAGTGATATTTGAGTCTTCGAGTGAATTTACAGCGTCTTCATCATCTACATCTACGGTAAAATATCATATAGTGATATTTGAGTCTTCGAGTGAATTTACAGCGTCTTCATCACCTACATCTACGGTAAAATATCATAGAGGGATATTTGAGACTACGAGTGAATTTTACATCGTCTACATCAACGGTAAAATATCATATAGGGATATTTGAAACTACGAGTGAATTTTACATCGTCTACATCAACGGTAAAATATCTAGGAAAAGTGTTAAAGGATTGTAAAACACATTTTTTTTTTAAAAAAATAAAAATAAAAAAATATACACAGAGTGGCCAAATTGGACGTAAGTGCTGTCGATTTTTTTTTTTTCTTTCTCTTCTCCAAAAAGTAAAAAAATCTTATCGTACGGAAGTGCTGTCCGAATTTTACCAGTTGTGAATCTGTTACACAAAATTTGCCCAAATTTTTGTCGTATCTTTAGACTTATTAACTGTAGATGTACATGTGTATCATTGGATTGTTTACACTCTTAATAATATCGTATCTATAGACATTACAAATAACCAAAATTTTTATTTTGAAATTAATTATAAATTTTTTATAACGTCGGAATGAAAAGTTTAAAATTTGTAAAATACTGGAAAAAACAGTATAATATTTTTGGGGCATTGGTTATATTAGTAATATGGATGTGTAGCTTAATATGGGGAAGAAGGTTAAGAAGGAGTCGAAGTGTGAGAATAAAGGGGCAGACATTGACGATAGAAGGACATAATGGAGAAGAAGATGTTATGGGAAAGGTAACATGGTTCCCGGTGCAGGAGATAATTAATGGGTGGACGGATAGCGAAGTAGATAAATTAACCTATAGGCCTGAAAGGAGAGATGCATATACTAATCAGAGATTGGGGACATATAGGGGACTTAGAGAAAATTCTCAGGGAAGAAGAGGAGAAATGAGACCCAACTTTGATTCTAGAGTAAGGGGGAGAATGAATTGTTATAATTGCGGAAGACAGGGACATATGGTCAGAGATTGCCAAGAAACAAAATGTTTTGAATGTGGAAAATATGGACATATAGCCCCGTTTTGTCCAGGAAGACGTGATAAACTACGTTGTGCAGGTTGTGGCCGATTTGGTCACAATAGGGAGGAATGCAATGTAGGTAATTTCAATACTAGAGACGGTTTTCCACAGAGGGACATGGGGCAAAGTACTCCAAATGTTAGAATTATTAAAAGTAAAAAAAAAACAGAGGTAGAAATACCATTTTTGGCTTTGAATAAAGAGCAGAATAGAATCTGTTTCCGATGCCGGAAGGAAGGACATGGTGCTAGAGATTGCGAGTATTTGTGACTATATGATGGCAAAGAGCATGCCACAGAGGTCGGGGAGCTTTGGGCGAAAGAGATGGAAAGATCAGAGTATAGTGAGAAAGATTGGGAATCAAAGGGCATAAATATGATACAAGAGGAAAGGATACATGATCCTTGCCCAGGAGTTTGGATAAATTTGAATGGAAATATGGTATCCATGTTATTTGATACTGGGGAAGCCATATCCGTGATGGGATAAAAGAAATATCAGAGTATTTGGTCGGAAGGGATAATTAGACGGGAGGACATCAAGATCCGTCAGTTGGGTGAATCAGAAGTCGCAGTGATGGGAAGGGTGGAGTTAAAGGTGGTATTAGAGAATAGAGTGGAGATTTTGGACTTATGGATAATAGATCGAAAGGTAGAGTCAGTAGTGGGATGGGATTGGATCACCCGAATTGGTCCAGATTGTGGTTTTTGGGGGGTATTCGCATGGTGTGGTGTATTTTTACCTGTTGCAAGATGTGAAGAAAATAGAGATATGAATTTGTGGTATGGAGAAAGATTGCCAGGAATTGAAACCTTTTTGGAAGGGGAAAGGAGAGGAGAAGATGAAGGGGTTGTTAGAGACTATAGGGGAGGTATTGGGGGGAATTATAGGGGAGATATCTGTGGGAATTATAGGGGAGGTATTGGGGGGAATTATAGGGGAGGTATCGGGGGGAATTATAGGGGAGATATCGGGGGGAATTATAGGGGAGGTATTGGGGGGAATTATAGGGGAGGTATCGGGGGGAATTATAGGGGAGGTATCGGGGGGAATTTTAGGATTTGTCGCGACTTTGGGAGAAAGGGAGGAAGAAATGATACCGAAGAACAGAAAAAAATTCATGATCAAGGAAAGTTTGAAGCGGAGTTGGAGGAATTGGCAGATGGGATGATAGTGTTGCCAGAAGAAGAAACTAGAGAAAATGATGATTTCGAACAAGGAAATACTAAGGGAACACATAGCCAAGAAATGGAAATGGATGGAAAGGAAACGAGACGACGGGAAGAGAGGGAATTTCGGAATAGAGAGATAGAATTTGGTATGATCAAAGTACAAGAGGGAGTGCGAAACTTGATGAAAAATTACAAGGAGATCTTTGATGAAAAGTTGGGTTGTCTCCGAGATTATGAAGTGGATATCAAATTAAAGGAGGGATATGTGTCCAAGTTTTGTGCATTACGACGGATACCGTTCGAATGGCGAATTGAAGTAGACAAGGAATTGGAGCAGTGGGTGCAGAAGGGCATTGTTTGTCCAGTGGAGTATAGCGAGTGGGTGACACCGTTAGTACCCGTTAAGAAGGCTAATGGAAAGCTTCGTTTATGCGCCGATTTTCCGGTCACGCTAAACCCGTGGGTCGTAGAGATAAAATATCCGTTACCTCGGATTGAAGAAATATTAGCTAAGGCAGCATATACTTTTCAAAGGTGGACTTTTCGAACGCTTACTTACAATTGAAGGTGAAACCCGAGATACAAAAGCTATTAACGATCACGACTCCGAAGGGATTGTATGCCTTATGTAGATTGCCGTTTGGACTT